TTCTATAAGAAGACCTATAAAAGTGATGGAGCATTCACGAACACGCTTAGAACTATGTCTCGTCTCCTCACCCGTGGCAGTTCCTTATTTAATGTTTTTGGTTCTTCTTTTCAAGGCCTACTCCGCCCATATCCGTATTATCTACAGCAGCTATTCAGCCTTACTTTAGGATTCGATGGCGTTCAGCTCCATGCAGCCCATGGCTATTTACTGTCGTCCTTCCTTTCACCAATGACAAATAATCGGAAAGATAAATATGGTGGGTCTGCGAAAGACAGAATGACGGTGATACTTGAAATTTATGAAGGAATCAGGTGAGCTTTGTGTTTTACCTTCTAAGAGAAGTCCTTTCGGAATCGCAGTTCCATTTGCAATTCCAACTGTGCCGTTTAGAAGAGAAATTAAATCCAACAACTTCTTGCTTGGAATAAAAATGAATTCGATCGAGTTCCAAGATCGTGGCTTGGGTGTGGAAGACGCTAAGGTCATGGGTGCGATTGTGGAAGTAAGACGATTCATCGAATAAAATTTTAAATGCTGTATGGGTGACGAGCTACAAAAGGTGTTTCAAGCTCGGTAGCTTCGAAAACCTACTGTATCATCTAGAGTTCTGTAGGAGAAAGCACTACCTTTTGGGTACGTTCGTCCTTGGAATTTTAGTAACGCTACACTCTTTCCTCTTCTTTTCCGCCCTCCTATGAAACTTTCTTTCAAACTTTCGCCTTTATCTCTGCTTACTCTAAACATTTTACCGCTCTTTCTTTTTGTATTTCCCTCCCTTACCAGTTTGTCTCCTATCCATTTTAGGTCTTTCTAGAGCAACCTAGAACAAACTTGTGAATATTCGGTTCTAGCTTCACCCACCTGCCGCCGACTATGTACCATGATCCTTTCTACTTTTTCGGCTTCGGTACTCTCAACTCATTCAAATCAGGGAATTCCGTCTTAAACATACTCTAACTTTTTTTGAAGACCTGTAATGACCGAATCGGATTTGTTTAGAATTGTGGCTTCGATTTTGTGGAGCTGTCTGGTGGAACGGTGAGCATGCCAGCTTTTCACCACCAACGTGAATCGACTAGAAAAAGAGAGGCATTCTTCGCCGAATTCGCTGAACAGGTAAGACCTCAAGTTAAGGGAGAGGATCAAGCTTCTGTCGCTCGTTTTGAGGTCACCTTCCCTAGTTATCTGAAGATTTGGCCCAGAATTGGGAGAATCACATCCAAGTCTGCAACAAAATTATTTTTCACTATTTCCAATATTTCGACAAAGGTTTTCCCCCTAAATAACCTTCCATATCAGAGAGATATTGTATGTTCATTTCTGGCTGCTGGCGGGGTTTCTTCCTTCGAGACCGGCGAACAGAGCAGGTGATACTAGATTGAAGCAAGTTCTGGCGAATGTGAAAGACTAGCCAAGAGTGTGGATCAAACTTCGATGAGCAGCGCTGGGTCCTCTTATTAAACGGGTTTGTGCCGCAACGGATCAGCAGAAGTCCTTCTCAAGTAGGAACAAGAACTAGAACAGCCATGAAACTATAGATTGGGGGTGGCGCTCTTACAATTGTCTATTCCAGATACGACCTTCCTTCGACAAGACTGTAGTCTACCTGACAGGTGGCTTCAGGACAGCTCCGGCTATGATCAGAGCGGTAACTGATGGGATAACGGACGGAATAGGATTAGGACGACCAATTACTGCTGAACCGGGTAAGCTTATAGTTTTTCAAAAGGTTTTTTGTTGGGCCTCCATACATATAGGGTCTGCCAGTCAGCGTGATCGCTCTGTAACAGTGACACAGAAGCCGTACATG